GCAGTACCCAGCGCCGGGCGGCGGCAGCAGAGTCGGGGGCGCTCGGGCCGGGCTGGCGGGAAGGGGACGTGTCCTTCTCTGACCTCCTTCAGGGCGTGCAGAAATGCGCGGGGCTGCGGCTGGGGCTGGGGCTGCGGCGCTGGCAGGCGTGGTGCTGGTGCTGGCTCTGTCTCTGGCAGCCTCTGCAGAGCAGGAGAGAGCATTTCTAGCGTCCCTATCTCCTGCTCCAGCCGCGGTTTTCTAGCAGAAGCTTCCTCCCTTCTCACATTTTCACTTCTCTGACCTCCTTCAGGGCGTGCAGAAATGCGCGGGGCTGCGGCTGGGGCTGGGGCTGCGGCGCTGGCAGGCGTGGTGCTGGTGCTGGCTCTGTCTCTGGCAGCCTCTGCAGAGCAGGAGAGAGCATTTCTAGCGTCCCTATCTCCTGCTCCAGCCGCGGTTTTCTAGCAGAAGCTTCCTCCCTTCTCACATTTTCAGGGATTGCAGAAAACTGCCTGTCCTCTGGCCTGTGTGGAGAGGGAGCAAGAACCAGCCACTGCTGTTTGGGGGAGGGGGGAAGAGAGGCTGATTGTTTTAGCCTTGCCAAGATGCCAGATAACCTTTGCCAGATCTTCAGTCCCTTCAAGTGCAGGATCCTTGAATCCCAATTTCTTGATTTCCTGCTACCTGCATACTTTAGCTGAATGACTGCTGTCAGCTTTGGCTTTGTATGATGTAAACTAGTAATTAAAAGACCGTTTTTTTTCTCCATGGTATATGTAAGGCAGCCTGGTTCCTGTGGGGTGATATTCCTAGTGACCAGTTTTTCAGGATTTTGTGACTGTCACTCAGAGCTCCTCCCTGGAAGAGGCACCGTCTCACTCAACCCAAGAAACCATTTTTGAGGGGATAATTTGAATTGGAGTTGTAGAATTTGTGATTCTTTCACCCAGCGCTGTTCATGGCAAAATGAGAGATTCGCAAATTGCTCCCTCTGGAAGTGAGACTGAAAATTATCAAAAAAAATACTTTTTACAAAATACTCTTGTGTTTTATTGTTCCAGTGACTCCCTCACCAGGAGCTAACTTAGTCTGAGAGTCTGTTGCAATTTAATAGGACAATATTGCACAGGCAGGAGTTTCCAGGTCCTTTACCCATCTACTTTCTCTTCTCCTTTCTTTCAGCAGTTCTGTGTTGCCCTCCCAAAATGGAATCGACACTGACAGGTAGCCAGATCCGGCAACGATTCATTGATTTCTTCAAAGAGAACCAACACACCTATGTGCACTCATCTTCAACTATTCCCTTAGATGATCCTACACTGCTCTTTGCCAATGCTGGTATGAATCAGGTAAGATGTTCTTCCCGGGCACTGTGGCACTTAAGTGTGCTTTCTGCAGCAGTAAGAAATGAAGAGTGGTTAGAAGTGTATTTGTAGCTAGCATGTGCCCCATTGAAAATTTCATACTAATGAAATAAAGAAAGACCTGAATTGCTCCAGGGCAGTGTTTCTCAAACTGGGTACAGATAAGAAGAAGGAAAGGAAAACTAGGCAAAAATGGGGGGAAAAGGAGAAAGAGAGACAAAATCAAGAGTAGCTTGGTAATCTCTTTCAGGTTGCTAAGAGGCTCCAGAGTGTCTGTAGTGACATAAAGCAGTGGTGTCTTCTTATCTGGAACATGGAATTATGGTATACAGCAGTATAAAAACTTTAAAAGTTTGAGAAGCAGTGGTCAGATTATTCCTAATCGCATGAAGCCTACCCAGAAGCCTATGTTGGAATAAGAGGTCCTTGCCCTGATGTGAAGGGCCCTGATTTGTTCAGGGGTCTGGAAATGGACTATAGCCATAGTACCTGGGGTATGTGCTGAATTAGTGCATCCTTGGGCATCTTTTCTCAGTAGTGATCCTGTTACGCCTTCGGTTAGTTTAAAGCTTCCATTTCCTGAGACCTTTTGGGTGGGCATGTAGACTGCCTCTCTCCTGGGATGGATCTTGCCCAGGCCTAGCTGGTTCTGCCAGTGCTTCACCTCAGTGTGTTCTAATTCTCCTGTTGCCTGCAGTTCCCAACCCATGGGCCAGAAGGGGTTGGCTGTTGGTCCACAGGATGGCTGGCTGCAGGACCAGAAGTGACTGTGGACCAGCAAACCGCGGACTGGAAGTGACTGACATACTGTGGGCTAGCAGCCAACCCTTTTTTATATTGAGTATAAAAAAGGGTTGGCTACCTGATCGCAGTATGCTGGTCACTTCTGGTCTGCGGTTTGCTGGTCCTCAGCATAAAAAGGTTGGGAACCCCTGCGTTAGAAAGTCCCAGCTTTAGTATTCTCTCATAAGCTGATTTGCATGTGTGTGTTTATGCTGGTGACAAATAATGTTTTCCTTTGCCTCTTGTAGTCTCTCATTCAGATGTTTGAGAGACAAGTTCAGTGTTGCTAAATGCCTATCTATATAGCATTCCAAATTGCCTGCATGTTCTGACCCACACAATATTCATGGTCTGGGTATCGCTTGTGACCTTTGGTGAGTAAAGTCTTCTGGAGAGCTCTTAATTGTAGCTTTCATTGTTTCCATTTCCTTTCAGTTCAAGCCCATCTTCCTCAATACCATTGACCCCTCCCACCCCATGGCTAAACTGAACAGAGCTGCCAACACTCAGAAGTGCATCCGAGCTGGGGGCAAACACAATGACCTGGATGATGTTGGGAAAGATGTCTACCACCACACCTTCTTTGAGATGCTTGGGTCCTGGTCATTTGGAGATTATTTCAAGGTAAAGTAGAGTCAACAGCCATTTGGAATCTAATAGGCAGAGCTGTGTATTGCTGTTCGCCTTAGTGGGATATTTGATAGACAAGCCTGCAAAAGGGAAGGGAAATATAGCTCTGTAGATTGTTTATTGATTACTAAAGTGTATGGGGGTCTTTCAGGATCAAAGAACTCATAACTGCTTTCTTGCCTCCCAAGGGTGTGATGAAGATTAATCATCAGGAATTTATAAAGCACTCTAAAAAGGAAACATTTATACAAGTGCTTCCTGTCTGTCTACACAGGCAGTCTCATCTTTACTATTATATCACCTACATTGTGTGTTCTGAGGGGTGCAGTAGCAGAAGAGTTAAAAGAGGATCTCTGGAGCCCCAGAGAGTTTAATGCAAGCCTTGCTTTGGACCAAGCTGCTAAATGGGCACTTGATCTTTCAAGCTGGGGATTCAAAAGCAGTCAGGAACAATGCTATCTATGTCGTTCCCTTGTGTGCTGTTGGCTACAGAAACTGGCATTCTTAAACCATTCTGCCCAACGTGCTGCTAGGTTCAGGCAGATGTCTAATATTTTTTGACATATGACAGATCTTTTGTTAGCACTACAGCAATTCAGCTAATACTCATTCTTATAATGGTAAAGTTCAGGAAATAAATATGAAGGTATCCATAAATTAAACTGGTTTGTAGCCTCCTGGTCTATTGGGTGAGCAAATACATCTCTTTGCATCAGTCTAAACAGGCTTCTTATGGAGTAGCCATTTGCCAGTGTTCCTTCTATGGCCCTTGATCTGAGAGTGGCCTGGCATGCTGATTTTAGTTATTATGGTATAGGGTTTTGAAAACTGTTCAGAGTCCCACTGGGGAGATAGTGTGTGTGATCTGGGTGTAGAAGACCTTCAGAATAAGAATGGCATTAGGATGATGATTTGTGGTGTTCTTGCTAGGGGCTCAGACAATGAGATAATACTATGCCACTGAACTTCACAATGGAGGATTTTTTAAAACCAGATATAGTTCAACAGAGAGATTGCCAGGACTGAAACAACAGCAGAACAAAAAAGGCCCTGAGGACTTCGGCTAAAAGAACCACAGTGACACCTGCTAAATGTAAACTCATAGCTGCTTCTATGACACCATATAAGGCACTGTTTTCATGGAATAATGTAGGAGGGGACACGTCTGACCATTTCACATATCAGCCTTCCTTTTTTCTCTGCCTTTGGCAAAGGTATGCAGGTTCACCTGCTGCAAGCCTGGGAGCAAGAGCTGGAGGTTGCAATCTCCAGTTATTTCATTTTAGTGAAGTTAGTAATGGAAAGCTTCTCTGTTTTCCAGCAATTTCCCACATTCCCTGTCGTTCCTGTCTGCTTTGTTTGAGGTTTGATGATATGTTAAGCCTCTTCAGAAGTGTTGTAGGTTGTGCTTTCATCCCCACCCATTCTGAGTTAGGACTTTTATGTGGGTAAAATAAGCTATATATGCTTTCACTTACACGGTTTATTTTTGCTTATGCAGGCACTGGCTTGTAAACTGGCTCTTGAGCTTCTTACCAAGGAGTTTGGCATCCCCATTGAAAGACTCTATGTCACTTACTTTGGTGGCAATGAAGCTGCTGGATTAGAGCCAGACCTTGAGTGCAAGCAGATCTGGCTGGATCTGGGGTAAGGGCATTAACAATTATAGTTCTTCTTATGAAAATAGTGCTGCTAAAAGGCTATCTCAGAGACTGGAGCCCCCTATTTGCCCATACCACATGTATTTTGTGGTTGAGACGGGGCATTCTGTGCCATGTTCTCCTGCTAGTGCGCCTCAGTCTGCCCCTGGATGGACAGCCTCGCAGGCAGGAGAAATTACTCCATCCCTTTGACCGGTTCAGTCTGGTTTCTCTGCTGAGATGACTGATGAGAGTCTTAATGGACAATCTCCCGGGGAACCTGTGAAGCCTTGCATAGCTTGGGACTGGCCTTCCTGCCAGACTTTTCCTGCCTTGTGCCACCACTGCAATAATGCAGAGCATTAAGGGGGCAGAATTCCATATTGTCTCTGTGGAACAGGAATTTTGGGCAGGCTCAGAATATGCAAAATCTCTCCCTTAGCTAGTGCATGTCATTGCTATGCAAAGGATTAATGTGACTGCTGAACTGGAGTAATAGACCATGTGGAAACCCACTTATGTGCTCTAGACGTGGTAACTTCTGGGATTCTAGCCAGCAGTTTATTTCACTGGGAACAAAGGAAGTAGGTTATGTTTACCTGGTGCTGTATTTTATTCAGGGAAAAACAGCATATCTTATTTGGTGTATGCTTTGTCCCACTGGAATGGGAAATCCTGGAGTGGAGAACCTCTGATGGGCTGTTGACATTCCATTGGCTCTTCCACCCAGTCAGTGAATTAACAGCTAGTGTGACTGTATTTGAGCTGAACTAGGACATCTTCATCTTCCTGTGGCTCTCTCTCATCCAGTGGGCACTTCTTGTTACAGACTGGCTGAGAACAAGATTCTGCCTGGCAGCATGAAGGACAACTTTTGGGAAATGGGAGACACAGGCCCCTGTGGTCCCTGTAGCGAGATTCATTACGACCGTATTGGGAACAGGGATGCCTCGCACCTTGTCAATCAGGATGACCCCAATGTCCTGGAGATCTGGAACCTGGTGTTCATACAGTTTAATAGGTGAGGCAAGAGCCCTCTCTCCTCCAAACATTTCCTGTTAGATGTACAATGACGGCAGTTACCGTGGCTCACCCAGTGACAATCCTGTAATGTCACAGCATAAGAAGGCTCTAAGTATTTGACCCTCTGTCCTGCACTCTGAACGGTGTTGCCAGCTATGCATCTGCCCTCTCAGGTACTTTAAGCAGATGGATGAGTCATTAATTCTGGGTTCTGCACTTATCAGGGTTCCTTCTTTGATTAACTGAGTCCTGTTGACCACAAAACTCCTCTCCACACCTCACCCCTGACCCAGCCACTAAGCTGAAGGCCCGGCCATCCATTCCACTCTTGTCACTTCTGTGTCACTTAGTACAGCACATTTCTTGTAGCTGCAAGCACCCTCCCAAGAGCAGGCTTTTGTAACAAACAATTTAATGCAGCTGCTGATTGAGGGCTACTGTTATGCACAACTAAGAGAGCAGAATATTTCAGCACAGCTTGCCACAGGCTCTGCAAACAGCCTTTAAGTCAGCATGAGTCCATTAAGGCATAGCTCTTGGTTTTGCTCTCTGGGGCAGATCTCTGCCTCATCTCCCATCCTGGCCTTGGATATGAGAGGAGTTAGGATCACAGAGCATTCTCTTGTTAGAGCAGTAGAAAGTGTGCCATTTGGCCTAGGACCTGTGATTGTGGATGCTCTTAATCCCCACACACATGAGAGGCAGTCTGTGGCAGTCTGTTTATTCAGCTCATCTGTCTGAAGAGAGGGGCATATAGCAGGGTAAGGATTTGCCAATTCTGATTCTAGGTTGCCATTGAGCATCTTGTTCTCATGATGATCCCAGTGGATGGGGAATATTCCTGCCTTTATAAATCCAGCAGGATAAGGTTATGTGTGGGAAAGAGGGGAGAGATGGGGAAACGCCCTGCTGTACCTCATTCAACAACTGTTTGTCTTTCCGGGTTTGGGCAGAGAGGCTGACGGGACCCTCAAACCTCTTCCCAAGAAGAGTATTGATACTGGATTGGGCCTTGAGAGGCTGGTGTCTGTGCTGCAGAACAAAATGTCAAACTATGACACTGATCTCTTCATCCCCTACTTCGAAGCCATTCAAAAGGTACAGTTCCACATGTCTGAGCCAATGTTCCTGATCCAAATGCATCAGCTTTCACTGTTGTTTTAGCACCAAAGATGTGTAATGTTTCATTTCGGTAATTGGAGAGCAGCATTCCTTTGTATAAGACTTTTCAGTTGTGCTTAGGGGTTTCTTGATCTAGAGAGCTTAAATCAAAGAAATTCCAGCTTAAACAAGATGGAGTGCTCGGCAGGCTGGAGATGGTGCAGTTTGGGGTGGGGAGAGACAAATCTGTTACCACAGCCAAGCTCCTTTCAGCATGTCATGGGGGTTATGAGGTTTGAAGATGCAAAGTGTCCTCCTTTAGGGATTTTGGTGGAGAGAATAGGGCTTTTCTCTGACAAAAGAGCTAGGAGGAATCGCCCTATGCTCTGGAGCTTGCCTGGTCTACCTCCTTATATTGATAGGACTTGTCCATTCAGCATGGGGGGAGATAGGTGACACAGCCAGCTGTGAGGTCTAGGTTCCATGTCCAGTCCCCTGCATTAAAATCCCCACTCTGAAATCCCACAGGTTGCCAGACAGCATAGTGTGGCTTTTAGAATCTGCCTCCATTAGGCAACTAGTATTTGGTGATCCCATACACTGTCAGAAAAGTGAACAAAAAAGATGCCACATGCTTTTGTTTCTCTTTGCAGGTTACCTTCAGGGTGGCTTTCCCTAATCACTGATTAGCTTTGGCACTGAAGGAAAATGGCAGGTCCCAAAGGCAGCAATAGAGATAGGTAACTCAAATGGATTCTGCAGTAAAATTGAGGGAAAGGCGTAGCAGGAACTTGAATCATGCCAGGCTGATGTCTGTGACTAGAACAGCAAAACAAATGATTCCCCCTACTACCTTTCACTGCTGATCTTATTGAATCCTTCATTTCCATCACTGTCTAGGTTGACCTGGGCTCTTCCTGAATGCTGGAGTTTAATCAGCTTTCCCCTTACACTGTCCCAGGGTGCCTTCTGGCCAGCTGTGCTGTATTTGACTTCTTCCAAACCCATTCAATTCCTGCTTCACTCCCCAGCCCCCTTACTTGGGAGTGAAGAAGGTGGGGGACAGTGAAAGCACCCTCCCCCAGCATAATACTGTCAAGGATTGAGGCCTACCCTCAATTTGGATCTACTTTGTGCTGCTAAGTTGCATCTCTGATCCACCTATCTGATCACGTGTAATCAGAAGGGACAGCAATACCCTCCATACTCACCATCTTTTTCCTCTCTTTTTACATAGGGCACTGGTGCCAGGCCATACACAGGGCAGGTTGGTGCTGAGGATATGGATGGCATAGACATGGCATATCGAGTGCTGGCTGACCATGCTCGAACAATCACAGTGGCCCTCTCTGATGGGGGGAGACCAGACAACACTGGCAGAGGGTAAGAATGTATGTGGCAGTGCTTAGCCAAAGGGAGGAAAGGGACAGGGGAAGCCACCTCTGCCACTTTGGGATTCTTACTTGTCTGAAGCTTCTGGTTCTAGTGTTTATTGGAAGCAAGGTGGACCCAGAGGCTGATCCAGCCTGATAGATCTAAGTTCCTTTGCTATTCCAGCCCTTAGTTCCTCACACACACAATTATGCCCCTCAGTCCCAACAAGAATAGTTTTATTATTCCAACCCAGATCCCCTGTGATAAGCTCTGCCAGTGCTCCTCACCTCTGACTTGCAGGTACTAAGGGGACTGTGTTTGAGAGGGTGTGAGAGAAGAGGAAGAGGCCCTCACACACTACTGGTGAATCCCCTTTGCAGGTGTTGAGGCATAACATTGGAGTGAGGATTACTCTCTTCCTTTGTTCCTGCAGATATGTTCTGAGACGGATTCTTCGCCGGGCCGTGCGCTACTCTCATGAGAAGCTCAATGCCCCCAAGGGCTTCTTTGCCACATTGGTTGATGTTGTCGTGCAGTCTCTGGTAGGTTCTTTGTAGCTTTCCTTCACTGCATAGAAACTGACTCACAAGTCATGCATGTGGGGCAGAAGTCACTATCTCTTGACTGGTGCTGATTTCTGCTTTTAATGCTGGCAGGGTGATGCATTTCCTGAACTAAAGAAGGACCCGGATATGGTGAAGGATATCATCAATGAGGAGGAGGTTCAGTTCTTGAAAACTCTGAGTAGAGGGCGTCGTATCCTGGACAGGAAAATTCAGAGTCTGGGAGACAGTAAAATTATTCCTGGTGAGTTTTGATCCAACTCCCATGCCAAATAAGGCTTCCAGGGGGAGGAGTCCTTTCCTGGTGCCCCAGCTGGGTCCCTCCAGAGCCTATGGCTCTCTGGGGGCAGATCAGGGCCTGACTGGGGCTGTAGTTGTGCTCTGGTGTTGTGAGTTTTAATGTTGATGATGGGATTGGTCACACTAGAAACAGGAACTCATTTTCCTTAGTGGGGTCAGCAGCAGTGTGAGCTGCCTCCATACATATCACTGTCCTATTTCAAGCCAAAAAGTGGACCCCTGTTCAGCATGAGAGGGCAACTTGATCCTTGTGCTCCTTTGGTTTTGGCCTTTCTGAGGCTGCCAATAAGAGAGCCAACTGTTCCTGTTCTGGTTCTGTGGGGATGTCTTAATGTAGACTCCTGTGTCAGTGCTCAGTAAGCATTTTAGTCCCTCTGGAAGGTGGCTTGCTCTGAGGGAGGAGTAGGGGGTATTTTACTGGGAAACCTGACTGGTTCATTTTTCTTCTGAAGGTGATACTGCTTGGCTGCTGTATGATACCTACGGCTTCCCTGTGGATCTTACTGGACTCATTGCAGAAGAGAAGGGCCTTGTTGTGGACATGGAGGGCTTTGAGTAAGAGCGGAGAAATGCTCAGGTAGAGAGCATCAGTGGCCCCAGCACCAGAAGTAGGTGGGGGCACTGGGATGGAAGGATCCTGTCCTGCTGCTTTATAGCAGAATGCCTCCAGAGTGTCCTGGCACACTGAGTACACCACATCCTGTTGTTGAGCCAGTGGACAGAATACCACAGATCTGGATGGATGAAAAATCTGAAGGGTGCAGCTCTTTACACCTTTATTTGCTTCGTAAACCACTGAGTGTTGGAACTGCTTGTTCTCAGGCAATTTGTACCTAGTTTTTTCCCTGGTTGTCTCTTGGAGTAGGGTAGGAGGGGCTGGGTTTCCAGATGCAGATACCAAGCAAAGTCTTATGAAAATCAAACTCTTATCTCCTGTGAATGTTCACAGGAAGCTGGCCAGGTGGTGCATGCCACTTCCTTTTTCTCTTCCTCCTGAACTTAGCAATTAGAGGTTCCAGGGAGCCGTCCAACACCTCAGGCAAGTTATTCATGTCATGCCTTTGCATCTGCCTTTGTGTCTATGCCTCTTCAGAAGTTCTTCTGAAAAATGTGTTCTCCTGTGTTCACTCCATGATTTGCTATAGTATTGTATCTTTTGAATAGACTAGGACTCCCCAGCTATGCATCCATGGGGACTGTAGCCATCAGCCGTCTCAGCCTAGATGGATGAATGGGTTCAGGAATTATCTTAGAGATTCCGGTGTCATATGATACTGCATTTGCAGGACTGGGAAGATGCACCTGCACCTTTAAGATGGATTGTTATACCAGAGCTTTTTAGGCACGAGTAGGAAAGGGGAAACATACTGCTTACTGCACCTCTCAGTTCCAATATTTAGTATAGGGGGCTCTGCAAACCTGCATCTGGGAAAAGACCCAAATTGCCATTGTTTTTTGTTTTAACTTCTAGAGAACAGAAGCCTTACCTACTCTTAAGGGTATTCCCCCCCCCCAATTTCTGTCAGAGTAGCCCTACTTATGGTAGTAACAGTAACACTAACATATGCAGAATTCAAACATTTACATCTCTGTCATACAGCAGTTGTCTGAACACAGTTAGATTGTGCTGGTTAGAACTTCAGTATTCTTTCTATACCAGCACTCCCATCATTGCTACCAGCATGAGGAATTCCGTTCTTCCCAGTTCATTAGCATAGATTCAGCCAAAGACAAAATCCATCACTTTTAAAATTTGGCTCTGGTTAGGAACCGGAAAACTCACCTTCACGTCCACCTGTGTTCTCCATGTTTCAGTGCACATGCTAAGACCCTTCTGGGTTCTCCAGTCCCACAGACACTACACATTTCAAGCAGCTTTAGGAAACACAGCTTGGCTAGCAATAGCCAAGGCAGCTTTGTGCTGGCAGCTGCATGCACTCTGGGGCAGGTGACAATAGAAACTGAAATTTCATTAAGTCCCCTTGCTGCACAGCTTGGCTTTTGGAAGGCTGAGGGCTTAGGGGTATGCCTTCCGTAAAGCTTTTATAGAAAGACCACAGCTGAAGAGAGCTCTCTGATGCTTGGCAGGTGGATCTTGTTCACATGCTCATAGTTCAACTGGTCACCAGGCTTGAAGGCAGGAAGAAATTTTCCCTTGGCAGGGACTGTTGGGAGACTTTGCCTTCCAATTTAGGCTGGGGCAGTGTCTATTTCTTGGGACCATCTGAACATATGTTCCTTAACAAATTCCCTGCCATTTCAGGGACCTAAGGCAGTGGCTGAGCCATGAGTCTCTCCTGCTTTCTTCCTGTGCCATAATGCAGCCTGAGGCTTCTGGTCTTTTGTACTAGTACAGTAATATTAAGTAGAGTTGGGGGGGATGCATTATGCTAGGCAGACGGGGCCTGAATGTTGGTTCTTGTGGACCCTCCTGGACTTTAATACGGTTGCCTGCAGGCACAGAGGATGACTTGGTGAGGTAGGTGGTCTCTTCCAATCTGTTTCTTGTCTTTAGCAGGAGTTATGTGGCTGTGTGTAGGAAGTTTTCTGGGAGCACAGATGTATTACCTAAGCACAGCCTTGGCCCTCTTTATTTTACCATTGGCTGATTCGGATCCTGCCTCTGCTGCCAGTGTTAAAAGAAGTTGTAAAGTGGATCCCTGCCATTCTGTCCAATCCTTGGGATTCTCTGTTAAATCAGAGGAAAATGCCTATAACAGAGTGCTTAATTTGGGCCAACAGCTTGAGGTATGTCTATACTGCAGTCAGAGGGGTGACCACAGCTTATGTGGAGTTATCTAAAGTAACATTAAGCTACCTACCTTGGCTACTGATAACAGTGTAGCTCTGGCAGCCCAGAACTCAGTGTGCATATGTTGCCTGAGTAAAATGTGACGTGATGTCTCAAGTCTTTTCTGCAGCTCATGCCAAGCTCTGTGCTGTTGCACCTATACCACTACCAGTACTCTGGCCAGCTCAGGTGTGACTGTACTAGCTGCAGTCACCTCTTTTTGACTGATGTAGCTTAGGTGACTAACCTTACTTTGTTAAATCTATTCTACCTCTGGCCTATCCAGCCCTATGGGTACTGTTAAAGACTGTCTGGATTGCCCATGGATACGATCCCTTTAGCTGTTCTTGGTACTGAGTGTTTTCTCCCTATGTCTGACTTTTGTTTGTTCTCAGCTGAAGTCTCAGGGGAAGGGAACTGGTGTAGAAGACCTCATCATGCTGGACATTTATGCCATTGAAGAGCTAAGGGCCCAAGGCCTGGAAGTGACTGATGACTCGCCTAAATACAGCTACACTTCAGATCCCAGTGGTGCCTATGGTATGTGACAGCCTTCTCAAAATGGTTCCACTACCCTTATGCCATGTTAGCTGGTCTTAGATAGGGTCAGGCTCCCACTTGGTCTATCAGCTTCCACAATTTGTAGCACCATTTAGCAAGAGTATTGAACTTCCCTCTCTCCTCCTCCTCCTCCTAATTATCACTAGCCAGTCACTGTGGAAAGAACCGCGTAGGCAGAAAGCATGTTATTACCTGCTGATTTCAGAATGTTTAGAGGTGGGAAAATGTTTAAAGGCAGTTGATTTCTTGGCTCTCTAAGGACTGTTCAGTTCATTTATTTCTAGCATGACCAGCAAGGTTAAGGTGGTGCTTTTCCCTGCAGCTTTATACCTTTATATTGTTTTGTGTAGTTTTCCTGGACACCACTACCACTTGCCACAGTACCCTGGATAAATGCTCTTTGGTCTGTTACTGAGACCTTGGACTATTCCTGAGTTCTGCTTAGCATTTTTATTATTGTAGCATCTAGAACAGGGGTCCACAATGTTTTTGGCTGGAGTGCCAAAATCACCCCAACCTCCACTCATGCCTCAACTTGGAGTGCCAGAGATGGGGGAGCTGCAAGGGGCCCAATCTTCATTGCTCATGGTGGCTGCACACATACCTCTGGGTGGATGGGAGGGGAGGGGCTGAGGTTGTGCTGCCCCAGCCCCTTCCCTGCCATGTGCTGAAAGCCACATGTGTACCCACCCCCATCATGGAGCTGGCACCAGGGCTCTGGAGCCCAGCGCAGCTGTTTCCAGCCTCCTGGCTGCCTTTCACAGCTGGCCCAGGCTCTGGGCAGCTAGAAGGGTGCAGAGCTGTGTCGGGCTCCAGAGCACCAGCTCTGTGGTGGCAGCAGCTGCATATGTTCCTCTGGGCAGATGGTGGTGGAAGAACCAGGGTTGTGTTGCACCAGGCCCCTTCTGGGCATGCTGTGCATGGCTGGGCTGCTGCAGCCATGGAACTGGTGCCGGGGCTGCAGAGCCCCACACAGCTGTCTGCAGCCTCCTGGCTGCAGCCAGCCTGGCTCTGGGCAGCTGCTGGCAGAAGTTGCCCAAAGTCCGGGTTGTCTCTGGTGTGCCAAGGAAAATGGCCTTGCATGGCATGCTCTGGCACATATGCTGCGGGTTGCCGATCCCTGATCCTAGAAGCTTCAGTCACATACCAGTGACCCACTATGAAAGGTGCTGTACTGACACAGAATAGAGACACAGTCCCTACTTCTGAAAACTTAAATTCAAAATAATTTTCCCATCCCCAAGCCAGATACTTCCCTACAATTTCCACTGGTTACATTCTGTCTTCACTTTCTGCCCTAAACAATTAAAAATTGCTGCCTTGAATGTCAGAGGTAGCTTTTGAATGTATTGCTGGGAAATGTTTCTGCTGCTCTTCTCAACGTGATGGATTGCTGTGTTACTGATGCTGCTCTTCCTGATGGCAACAGAATTTGAGAACCTCATGGCCACAGTGAAGGCAATTCGCAGGGAAAAGACCTTTGTGGAGGAAGTGTCCACAGGCCAGGAGTGTGGAATAGTTCTGGACAAGACCTGCTTCTATGCTGAGCAAGGAGGGCAGATTTATGATGAGGGCTACCTGGTCAAGGCTGATGACTGCAGTGAGGATGTAAGTGGCATGGTTGGCGTGGGCTGTGGCCAGCATTCAAACTGAGCTGCCACCAACTTACTTTTATAAGAGTAGCATGAAAGGAGCCAACTGGAGACGACAAAGTGAGGGAGAGAAGGAATAGCCCAGGAACCAGTTACTAGTTTGGGTTATGGGAGGGTTCCTTGCTGTTACAGACTTCCATTATAGCCTTGGGTAAGGCACTGAGTTTCTCTGGGCCTCAGCTTCTCATCTGGACACTGAGTAATAGCACTGTCTTGCTGCTCAGGGCTACTGCAAAGATAAATTAAGTAAAGATACTGGGGTGATGTTTTGGTAATGACCACCATAGGACTGGCAGTCCTAGGCATTCTGTGAGTTTCCTCCTTGGGTCTGTGGGTTTGTCTGCACTGTATAACCACCTGAGCTTATTTTGAACTAGCTGGCATAGGGGCCTATGGTAGTGCAGCTGCAGGAGCAGAGAATTTAGTGCAGGCTAATTTTCCCTGCCCCTTGGGTGAGTTTTGTAACCCGTACTGAATTCTGTGCTGCTATGGCTAGACTGCCACCAGTAGCCAAGCAAACTCCAAAGCTGTCTCACCATCTCCATGCTGTCTGTTCTTCCCCCATCTTATACAGAAAATGGAGTTCACGGTGAAGAATGTACAGGTCCGTGGGGGCTATGTGCTTCATGTAGGAACAGTCTATGGGAGTTTGAAAGTTGGAGACCAAGTCCATCTATATGTTGATGAGGTAAGTTAGTCTAATGCTGCAGTGAATGCCATTTGCTTTTTTGTTCTCCCAATGTTCTGAGCCAGCATGTGCCCCCATGTGGGCACCTCAGCTGAACTCCAGCACAATAGGAAAGTTTTGTATTTCTGGTCTGAGTTCGGTATTCTCACTCTGCCACTTGTGCAGTAGTCTCTTGCTGTGCAGCTGAGAACTCCAAGCTCATCACTGGCACAGATTTGTCTGTCATTTGGCAGAGCTGAGTTTGGGAAGAGATTGTCCAGCTACCTATATATGTTGGTTTGAGTCCAAATATGTCAAGTCTTCTGCTTATCTTATGTAAAGAAGTATATCAGGCAGTGACAGGACAAGCTGCCCTTTCTCAGCTTTGTGTGTGTGCTTTGCTGCCTACCAGGAGGGGAGTTCAGCATTTGTACCTCAGTCTGTCTCTGGCAGTGCTCAAATAGAGGTCAGCAAGGGGTGACTGAGCAATGATTTATGAGACCTAGACCTAGAAATGAATTGGGAATAACCAGCTCCCTTGACATAAGCCCCAGAACTGATGTCAAACACAAGTTACTTCTGATCGTGCATGTGTCACCTCAGATTTCTTTCTTATAGCAGAACTGATTTTTCTTATTTTTTCTGCATCATAAATGACCATACCTAACCTAGCTTAGGCCACCAGTGGGTAAGGAACTGACCTCTGTCAGCTCCACTGATGCAGTGAAACTATTTAACAAATGTTTTTTCTCTGCCCCATACAGCCTAGGCGGAGACCTGTCATGAGCAACCACACTGCCACCCACATCCTCAACTTTGCCTTGCGCTCTGTGCTAGGAGAGGCTGACCAGAGAGGGTCCCTGGTGGCCCCAGACAAGCTGCGATTTGACTTCACTGCCAAGGGAGCCATGTCCACGCAGGAGATCAAGAAAACTGAAAAGATTGCTAACCAAATGATAGAGGAAGCCAAGGTGCGTAGAGCAAGGCACACCTGCCAAAAAGATGGCCGCTATGGCCATGGACCACTTTTTTTACTTATAGTTGCTTTGGCCCAGAGTGAGAGCACTCCAAACACTTATGGCTGACTTACATGGCCTTTCTTAGGGGAAAAAGGGGTGCAGACACCTTACATAAAGTTCATTCCAAGGATTCTATCTGAATTCTGTGTGATCAACCAGACTACCTCTTATTCTTCCCCAAGTCCCACTTCTTCAGGAGAGAAGTTGCACATACTAGACCTCAAGGCTTTATTGCACCATTTCAACAAAACCAAATCATTTGGCTGTGTCCATAATTTTATTTCTGGCTGTAGCTAAGCATTCCAAGAGTCAAACCATCTCATTTCAAAGGGATCAGTTTCTTTTCTGTGTATTGGCGTTTGCTACTGTATCTTTTTCCACTCAGTGGAAATTCTTACTCTACCAGAGTTCAAGCAGCATTTTTTTTTCCTGTTTCAGGAATGTGCTGGTTTCTGAGATAGGCAAGGCAGGTGAGCAAAATAACCCATTGATCCTTGCCAAACATTAGATGCCAGAGCAGGCATCAAGTCTTAAGAGAGCAGTTCTACAAATCCTGTTTTACTAAGGGTGTAGGGACATAACGTTGTTACACCAATGTAAGTTATACCAGTATGCAGAGCAAATGGGCAATCACCTGTCCAGAGGTAGCTGCCTCCAAGTTTGTTACTGTACTTTGCCACTAGGGGGTAGGGTAACTGGCAGTAATCTGTGTCTAGCAAAGAGCTAAACCAGGAGTGTCCAACCTTTTTGAATGTGGGGTCAGATCACGAACTTTTTAATCATCCAGTGGGCCGGCAAGCCATATTCAAAGACATCTCAGGAAGTAGTGTCACGTGACCTTTGACACTAATGAAGTTGCAGGGGTTGACATGGTGCTGGTTGACATGGCATGCATGCCCGGGTTGACATGGTGCTGCGGGAGCCGCTTGGCTACAACCGGGTTGACCTGGTGCTGGAGAAGCCACGGGGCCAGGCCGGGATTAACCTGGAGCCTGCCTGGCCTGCCAGTGCCATGCCCGGGGTGACATGGTGCTGGGGGAGCCGCTTGGCTACAACCGGGTTGACCTGGTGCTGCAGGACCCACCTGGGCAGAACCGGGTCAGCACTGGCCAGGAAAAGCAGCATGCAGCTGAAGCCGGCTTCCCATGTACTTACGTCCTGAGCAGCACACGGCTCCGCCGCCGCTTCTCCAGCAGAAGCGACGGCGGAGCCATGTGCCGCTCTGGACTGACCAGTGCAGGCTCGTCACGTCCTGAGCAGCACACGGCTCCGCCGCCGCTTCTGCTGGCCGGTGCAGACCTGGCCTGGCTCCTCCCGCCCCAGCAGCACATGAGAAGCAGCCCCACTCGGGGCCTCGCACGCGGGCGGCTAGGGCCGGAGAGCCGCAGTGCCCTGGGGAAGACTGGCCAGGGGAGCAGGCGCAGCCTTGCTGTGGGGCAGGGCAGCGGGGCTGGCTTGAAGCGGGCGGGTGAGGAGGCAGGTGCCAGCGGCCGCTGCTCGGCCTCCCGCGCAGGCTGCTCCCCTGGGCCCCGCGGGGGGTAAGCAGCTCCCCTCCCCTCACTGCTGGCTGGGGGCTAGGGGGCAGCCCTGCCCGTCTTTCTGC